CCTGCAGTACGCACCCACTTGGGTTCGAACCCAGGACCTTCCGGTTGAAAGGCAAGCTGACTTGTATACCACTACGGACACTGGGATCTGATTCAATGGTCAGCCGATGAATTCTAACTTCTACCAATTCGTGATTTACCGTGACCACCAGTTGGTGCTTACTGGCGATAATTCTCATACTAGGATGAAACAGCTGTCTGGCAGTACTCCCTAGTTTTCAATGGTTCTCTAACTGATATCAATCCGTGGTCAAACCCGTATATTCAAATTAACTTAATTTTTCGGGATAGTGATCAGAAGACGCTCACTCAAGCCTCTGAACTTATTGTTTACTTTTATATAGAAGTGTGGTGAGAGCTGGCTGCTAGCCAAAGTTGGTAGACAGTAATTGACGTCAATGTTTATGTCCCCAATATTGGTGGTGAGAGAATGAGAACAAAGGCTTTGCGTAGGCGGATACAGTTAGCATATAGATGATCTGACACAGCCACAAAGAGATGCAAGGTTAACTTTTTGTGAGAAACAACCAATCAAAAGATTGTATTTTCTACTAACAATAATCTACAATAATATACATTGAAATCTATAAATATGTGTTAATTTTGCTTAACAAACGATCTGTTGCCTGGCCCTTGTCTTTTGTTGTTACAGAAGTGTAGACAAAGACGTTTCACAACTGGTGAATGTGGCAAATTTCATTGATTGGTGCTGTGAGGGATATTAATAGGTATTTGCTTAGTCTACATTAGTTGGTACAGAAAGAAATTCAGACAACCAAATAGCAATAATAAGGATTTGGTGTATTTCAAAATAGTACTTCTGATATGGCGCGGGATTCTCACAGTTCGGCAAAGCAACAACAAAATATATTACAGAGTATAGGTAACCAAAATTGATAATAGCAGCATTTTGGTTTCAGAAGTGATATCGAAGTTAAAAATGTACAAAAAGTATAAAATGATACTAACGATAATAATACTGATAACTAGAATTATAAGATAATTGAAATGATGTCAATATAAATCGCTAATTACATAGTGACTTGTAAGTTTCACGTCTGCCACTATCTCTGTCATATAGAACGCGGGTCAAATAGGCTATCGTTGAGTTATTGAACTTTGTTATACGAGCATGCAATCATTCATAAGAACTTCTACTCCTAACTGATGAGATTCAAAGGTGGGAGTGGGCGAGGTGAATTGTGAACAGAGTGGATGTTGAGAGTCAGACAATGTGGATTTAAACCATCTCTCAAATGAATTCAGGTATCTATCGACTATAATAGTAACGATCTGACTGAGTGACACACCACTTGCTCTACTGACAACCCTTCATACCCTTTGCAGTATGACATATTCCTTTTTAAGTAGCTCACGAAAGTCCATGGGGTTGGATAAAAGAAGAATAGGTAAGAAGCAAGATTTAACAAGTTGTAAAAGTAGAGGTTGAGTGATACCTTTGTGATTGTCTTAACTTCTTAATGTAGTAGGTTAGAGGGAACACTTTCTTAGAGATCGACAAGATATGGGATGACGAAGAATGGTCAGAGGAAAGAATTATTCCAGGATATTTAATGCTTGATTTAGTTTCTGTTTCTTTATCCTTTTATTTGTAATTACGAATTTTATTACGTTAACATATATATATGTATATTCTTTTAAGTTCCCAGTGGGAGATAGGGCTTCGAGCTAGAGGCTTGAAGTTTCTTTAGTAGTGGAGATTATTTTTACAGTATCGGGTCGCTAGTCTCATGCCCAACTTTCCCTCCTTACCAGTCTTACTACTGGCTTAGCCAGGTAAAGGAGTGAGTTGGCCGGGGATCGAACCTCGCGTGGTCAGAGAGCACTCTACCGCTGTGCCACTGATGCACTTATTCATATATAATATGTAAAATCGGTACTATGGTAGCATGTAATTCAATATTACTTTGTTTATTGGATATACCACACAGTGAAATAGTATTATTTACTAAACGACTTTTCGAATACACTTTATTGCTCGGAACCATAGAAAATGAGTTCGCATACTTCCAAAAGACGGTAGTCCAATTGGATTTCCTAGTAGATTTGTGAGGAGACGCATGAACACCAGGTATAATAAAGAGAAACTGACAACACAGTTGAAAAAAAAAACTGTTCCAAAAACTCCAGTTTAATGGGGACGTGACTAGTGAGGTCTTACATCCATTTATTTTTTATTTTTGGTTACAGCTTGATGCCACACCGTATTTTCAGTACAAGTATGGAATTTTCAGCATGGATATCGGTAGCCCAAATTTTGCAGGCCGACCATAGATATCGGGTGTGCGTCGGCAGGGGATCGAACCCCGGACCATGTGCATGGTTGGCGAGAGTCCTAACCACTGTGCCACCGAGAGCAATAAAATGGACTTATACTGCCGCCACCCTTTATTTTTCATTTTCCAGCCGACAAATTGTGATTGCTCAAGCGAAAGATAAGCCTCCTAACTGTGCCACTTCTATGTGTATCTACAAATTTCGTCACTCCTATTGAGAGAGCTATATAGAGCGAACAACTAGACAGCTTAACAAACGCATTAATGAGCATCTTCCTTCACTGTTCGGAAAAGGCCAAATAAAATCTATGAGAAGTTTTATTTTGACTCATTTGATTGGTCACCAAGCACACAGAAGAAGTGCCTTCGAAGTCATCTAATGCATTCCAACGAGCCTTTCGAACAGAATCTGACCCCGTCTTTTACATCTAGCCGAAGCTATGGGAATTCGAGAGAACAATCCTCGTCTTTGCATACAAAAGAAGTTTGTTCTACCTTTGTCTCTCCCTTGATTGACAAGGTAAATTCTAATTAAAAGCCTCCCACCCTTTCTTATTTTCCACTTCCTTCGTACTTTTATGACATTTATTCAAACTCTGATTATCTGTCCACTTCACCTTCAGTATTGCGTAACTTTTAAGATTTGACCTAATTTATTTATTGAATTGTCTACAAATACACACATATTATCGCCACCTGCATAAACCTTATTATCATTATTTTGTTATCATTATAACCATCGTTATTACTGACGACGCACTCCTTTACCTCGCTAAGACGATAGTAAGCCGGGTAAAGAGTAAAGGTTTGTGGGGTAGAACTAGCTAACCCACCCCGTAAAAATAAAGCCACCGCCACTGAAGCTTCAAAGCTCTAGTATGAAGCCCTATGTTCCACTGGGAACGTAAAGTAATGAAATAAAAATAAAAATAATTATTATTATAATCTGATCCACAAGCTCACTGGGTAAATTTTTTATTTATGTAGCTATGCGTAAATATAAGCCTTTCGAAGATCTAATTGAAGACAACAATATTGTTCGCTGACATGTCTTGTTCAAATATTATCCACCCTTACTACTACTTAACTCCTTTTCCATTGTATTCAAGCATTTATTATTTTTAATTGGTGGATGGTGACTAGCAGTGGAATCCAGGATGCGCATTTCGTCCTATTTGGGACTCATCACTGGATGCACCTGCATTTCTCAGTGAGTGATGATGTTCCCACTAAGGCTCAAACCCAGTGCCTCTGCACAAGAAGCCAACATTTCAACCTGAGACCGAGCACTTCAGTCCAATCTATCGACAGGAAAATCTAAAATTCAATTAAATTTATTATTTTCCCTGATTTTGTTTTGTTCAAACTTGAACCTTCAGTGTGTAAGTTATGTGGAAGTGTAATTTCTGAGCATTGCTTATAATCTTTGCAGTCTTCTGTTATCCGGCATCAAATCACTTTTAGAGATATGTTAAAATTGTTCTTAGATTGAAAGGAAACAGGAAGTTCAGCAAAGATGGCGGTCTTTTCGGCGATTTCATTCTCAAAAGCAGCTGTACAATCGCATTTATATACATTAGTTTACATGGATACAATTATTATTTGCTTAATTCCACATAGTAACGAAGGTTATATTAATTTTCCACTTGATATGAAAGTTTGAAGGTACGAATATAGATTACAAGGGGCTTAGAGACAAGATTGCATAGGACTAGAAAACAGTTACAACGTATGCAAATTGATAACTGACAATTATTTTCAACTTGACATGAATTACAAGAGGCTTAGAGACGAAAGTTGCTCAGGGATATAACGAATTACAGGTGTGAACAAAATGAGCATGGAAATAAACTGAAATCGAAATTTTCAACTTGAAATGTAAGTTAGGAGGTGTGAATATAGAATACAAGAGGCATAGAAACAAAAATAATTACACAGGATTAGAATATAATTGTAAAATAGTTATTCTAAACGGATTACAAGTGTGATCAGGAGGACCATGGAAAAAAACTTAAAATAACTGAAAAAAAATTGTTGTGTATAATTGTATCCATGTAAACTAATCTATATAAATGCGATTGTACAGCTGCTTTTGAGAATGAAATCACCGAAAAGATCAACATCTTTGCTGAACTTCTTGTTCTTTTCAATCTAATGTTCCGATGGGTATTTTCCACGATTTGAACTGTAACAGACATTACATCAGCCAAATCCGACAGCTGTGAAAAGGCACAATCTGTATTCCTGTTTCATATCAATGCATTTAGATAATTACGGACACCGATTTCATTAGGATAGTGTAGAAATCTTAAATATAGGCAATACAAAACATGCATTCAGGGAATTTCTAGAAGCCTGGTACTCAGATGTGCATCAACAATTAATATGCACACTAATATAGGCCAAATTTACCAACTAATAAAACAAAAATAAATCACATGACAAGAGAGTTCGAATTCCAAGTCAACAAAAGGGATGAATAGAGGCGTCAGTTAGGAACCAATGACAACAGTGGTTATCATGATATACAAACAAATACCAACCATTCATGGAGAATTCAAATAATGTTCATTTCATACTAGAACCTGTGCTGAAGATGTTGTCTAGACGGTGACAACGAAAGCTCCTCAATTAAATCGGCAAATAAACCAAAAAGTTGATATACGTATAACGTCGGAAATAAAAAATATTGAGAAATACATACCTATAAAAATTCTTCGGTAAGTTTCACTTCACTCTTGGATTTCAGATATCATTAGCATCATCATAGCATTCTCAGGTAATGTGACTATGTAGTAAGATGATGAATTTATGCGCAGTAAAATAATCAAGCGATTTTTGTTTTTGTGTGTTGTGTGAAATGTCTTGATATAAAGCGGCTAATTTACTTGGTGTTTGCGATAGATACTATATCAAGAAATCAGCTGAAGGTAATAAACACTATATCTGAAAGCTTCTGGGCACGCTCAGGCAGAATATCACTTCTCTACCTTGACTTCTCTAGTAGGTATATAAGCAAAATTTGAGAGGAGGCAATGCGCCGCCGGATGAATTGAAACCGTTCAACTACTGATGATGAAAAATATTTATTCCTTTGCTTATTTATTCTCCTCCTCCTCTCTGCATATTGCTGCTTCCAGTAGAATGACACTCATTTGACACGCTAATATACAGTACAAAAATATACATTCACACACATACATACACGCATACATACGTACATGTATGCCTTTACAACCTTAGCTATTAGAATACAGTGACACCTGAAGTGTGTACATATGTGCGTGTGCATGTGTGTGTATGTGTGTGTGTCTAGTGAAATTAACTGCTCCTATTGATCCTGTACCTTTTTGAGGTATTTTCTTTTTCTTCTTCTTTAAAAGGAGAAATCAACCAAACAAATGTTAAGTGTGTTCATGCACAAAAACACATTTCCTGTGATTACAGTCATCATTAACAGTATCACCACTAAAAGCAATACAACTAACCGACCAATCAGATAAGATTGTGTGGGTGGGTAATAATATTATTATAATAAATGCAAACAATGACATTAACAACGAACGATAAATGAGCCTAGATTTACGCTTCCAGTTAGTTATACAGTATTGTACAATGTAATGTGTAAAGGAATGTGCAATATGCAAGATTTTGTTTATATAACTAACTATACAATTATATTTGAATGGTAAAACGGTAAACTGTCTTTATCTACAGCGCATAGCATAAATTATATGTGTGATTGCCACATTGCATACTGCATAGGCAGGCGTTTTGGGTATCACTAGAATCAGAAGAATATGCCAGCTGCGGCTCATCATTAACCGTTCACTGCACTGTTTCCAGCAGGATGGCGCATGCTTGTAGCACTGAAACCCTAAATTTCCTGGAGGTTTCAGATGCCTTCAACTGATTAGTATCGTTATATATACATTGTTTTTCTCTTGGGTATCGAGTAGAGCATAGGGCTTCAACAGAACATCTCCATTTCTCTGAAGTTGTTTTCGGTTGGTGCTACCAGTGCGCACAAGTGGGGCAGTTAAACTGTAATGGCCGAAATCACAGTGACCTTGAACAACCAATCAGAATTCAGATGCGAATAGGTAGGAAATGTATTAATAATTGTCTCTTATGTTTTGTACATGTATTCCAGATACCCTGAGGACAATCCGTAGAGACATCATACCATGTGCAATAGATGTATTCATGCAGGTGACTTAAGATCATGGTATTTTTAGACCCTGACCTCTTTGGTATTCCTGACATTGCTCTTTAACCGATTCCTAACCCTAATCTGAATACTAAACCCTACAATAAATCCTAAAATCCTTAGCCCTGCCTAACAGCATGGATTTACAGAAAGAAGCACCTAGGGAATAAGTAGGATACTGTATCTCCCCTCACCAAATCCGAAAAGGCAGGCATGATTTGATTTGAAATTAACTTTTGTAGCTTTATCCAAATCTGATCGCCTCTTGAACGTCCACTTCTGACTTTGTCTGTGATGGTTTGGTTTCACCCTCGAAGCTTTAGTCTCTTCCTCACACGATCTCCTCCACGCAGCAGTGAGTATAAAATCTGACGGATGACTCTTTCATATATATATATATATAATTACAATATGTAATTTTATGTATCACTTGTGCCAATATGAATTAAAGAAAGTTTATGAAGTATCTTGTAAAAATAGTTAAACATAACTAGTCATATTTATTTCATATACCATTTGACTTCTAAGTCAGTCCACTTAAAGTTAAGTTGATTGACTTTAGGTATGATCATCAAATTGGTAGTAAATAATTTACAACGGTCATGGTTTCCAAGACTAATTTTCTTTGTCACTTTCCTACTCCTTCAGTGTTTACGTATCCACTTTTCAGGCCTGTTTAGTGTCTCCACACTATTATGTTAAGGGATTTCAGCATGACCTGACATCGGTTAGAGGACCATTGTAAAACCTGGGAGTATTGCACAGCTGTTCCTGTAGTCCTAGTTCGGGACTCGTCAGCATTATTCATACACTGGGGTTCACAACCAGGACTTTCTGGTTACAAGGCGAGCTTGTAGACCATTCAGCCACTGGGACTCGATCCAACGGCCAGCCCATGAATTCCAAATTCCCCGCAAAGCAATACATGAATATTAATCCAATACCCACTAGAGACTGACTCTATTCAGGTAGGTAGTTACCTGGGTTCCAGTGGGAAGTCGTGACCAGTGAGGTACAGCAGGTCGGGTCTGAGGACAAAACTTACCGATCACACTGGTCAGTGGTAGTGAATTGGCAGAAGCTGGAATTTACGGGCTGGCCATTGGATTGGCGAGTCCCAGTGGCTTAATGGTGCATGAGCTCGCCTTGTAACCAGAAGATCCTGGGTTCGAACCCTGACCGTGGGTACGTACTGATGAAGAGTTTCAAACTGTGAAGAAACAGTTCTCCAGTGCTCGCTGGTCGTTTTCCAGTGGTTCTCTAACCGGTGTCAGCTCATGATGAAATCCTATACCCAATCAAATCCCTGCAAACCAACAGCTGAATATTATGTTACTGTTAATTAATCTAGACACAATTTTAACAACTGTTACTGTAAGACTAAAGCGCCTGGATACTGCAATAATTGTATGGTTTTATTTGGACCCCATGTAAGAGATCAATAACTATGCATAATGAGATTAGTTACCTACTTAAACCTCTGCACTATCTGAATTATCATTCAGCATGATACGTCTAACTTTCTCCATTTTTTGTTTTTATTTCAAACGCAACGTAAACCCACAGGAATTTTTTAATAATTCCGACTTACCGTTGTGCATTTCACGAAAAATTGAAAGGACAGTGTGGCAGAGTCTTGTTTCCAAAAGATTGACATTACGTCTTACGATGTCCTGTCGACGAATATTTTACTTGAGTAAATATTATGCGATAAATCACACAGAGAATTATATATTCTATGTAAACATAGTCTCCAGAATGGAGCTTTTATTATCGGTAAAAGTAGTAATTAAATGAATTTATGACCTACAGTTTCAACGGGTTCGAATCTATAACCTGATATAGAATTGCTGACGCTTGTGGATTATACACTTGCTACTGCTATGACCGGAACTACGACCTAGTACACTTTGAGCAAATGCTAACTGAACGCTCTGGCTAATCTGTTCAGATCGCACGTCAACAATAACAGCAATGGCAATAACACCGCCGGGCCGCAAAAAGCTTTCACTGTCCCAAACAACAGTCAAAAATGACCTTGAGGAGCACTAATGTCATTGATAAATCAAGACAATGAACAACCAATAGGATTTCAAAGGTCATAAGTAGCGTGAGAGAAAATGAGATAGTAAATCAATAAGTGAGGGGGTGAGAGTAATGCAAACAGACATGTAAAAATGACATGTAGAAGAAGCTACACAATATGAGCTGTTTGATATTTGTACAGTAAAACAAAACTGACATGAGTGAAAGTCAAAGCGAACTACAAGCTACACAGAAGACAGTTGTATACAAGGTTACTTTTACTAGCCGAAGATGTGGAAGGGAATAACTCGACATTTCATGTCCAATATACTACTGGTCGACCTATCGTGCCTCATCCATTAGAAAATGATTTCGCGCGTACCTATTTATGTATAAGTACGGTTATTTTTAAATCATTTTAAGTGATACGTCTAGCTCTACAGAGAAATCGATTGGTTACTGTTCAAAAAAGGAGGAAGTATAGTGTTCAGGACTCAGTATAAATAGGAAGAAAAGAAATGTCACTGAAGATAAAGCAGAAACTATGCCCTTTGTTAAAGACAGAAAAATTCATGAAGACCTAGATTAGCATTCCATTCAATGGTTCACATTGTTATGAAAGAAGTTCAGAAATCCAAATATCCTATGAAGGACTAAAATCTAGAAGAAGTCAGAGAAAAACAGAACAGATACAAATAAACAGACTAAAAAGACAATTTTTAGAGCGTAAGGCGGATAACCTTCATATTTATAACACCATTTCTGTGCATAGTGGATGAAGCAACAGCAAACTTGTATAAACCTCATTCAAAAGTTATAGAGTGATTGCACATGGAAATTAGTTCACAATGCAAATATTACAGCAGTCTTTGAAGAGAAGACAGTACAGACAGACTGTCATCGAGAAACTTCCCGAATGTGGTAGCTCGAATCGTGCAACAGACTGTGTGGATTGGAATAATAGACATATGTGGAACCATTGATATAAGAATAAAACTTGTGCACTGTGGTAGAGTGTAATTCCATTATGGGTTAACAAAACAAAATTTACCCATAATGGAATATATGGAACCGACTGAAAACCGCAAGAATATCTGGATTAGGGGTGATCTGATCCATGTCACAATAACCCAGAAATTTATAGGAGAAGACCAAAACTTGGATAGAAGAGAATGGAGATTGGGACTTTTAAGTGAACCCGACCGTTAACAACAAGCACCAATCACCGGCAACGGAAGAAATGTAAAGAATTTCGTCTTCTTCACTTACTATGGCATGAATAATGTGATAAAAGTCAGACAGAAAAGGAAATTTAAGACAGGCATTGATTACTCTGAAATCATTGTGGAGATGTTCAGTACACAAGAGCAGAATCCGACTTTCCTAGACTAATATCATGTTATTGGTTTCATATGGTTGAGTGACTTGGAGCACGAATCACCAGAACCGTTTCCAACAGGCTGCATACTATTATCATTGGCTGCCTTCACTAGCTATTACATGAAGAATAGACAAGCATTTTGTCATAACTAGGATTATGTGTGCATTTGGTATCGTGATGCAAAAATAACGGAAGTAGAATTTTTATACACATATTTACAAAAGTATGGTTGAACGTTTTCTGACAAGGTGAAAGTCCCTGTCATAATTCTGTTAAGTCAGCGTTGAATGAATCCATATTGTCGCAGATTATAGAGCTATTTCCATGATGAGTGATATTCATTCTGATTCCATTGTGCATGAAAAAAAAATAAAAATCGTTTCCTATGCCACTCCGAATCCTTAATTTCAATTTAATTTCAAAGGTAGTTTTATACTACTGATAAATTATTTGAGTAGGCAACAAATTAACTAAAAATATTTTGAAATCTAGGCACACGGGT